TTACAATAATCCACACTTTTAATCCAGGTTACAATAATCCACACTTTAATTCAGGTTACAATGATCCACACTTTTAATCCAGGTTACACTCTTCTCTCAAGGACACATTTTACAAAGTAGCTACATGTTGTGCAGGTATAAAGATACATTTCTATATATTTTTGTGTACATAATTTTTTTTAAGCTATTTGACTAACTTTTATTTTTTATTAATAATAATAATAATAATAATAATCATTTTATTTAAAAAGTGCCTTTTATGACACCCAAGGACACTTTACAGTAAGAACAAAGATCAACAGGAATAAATTACATACAGAATATAAAATGTATACAGAATATAAAATACATACAGAATATAAAATGCATACAGAATATAAAATACATACAGAATATAAAATACATACAGAATATAAAATGTATACAGAATATAAAATGCATACAGAATATAAAATGCATACAGAATATAAAATGCATACAGAATATAAAATGCATACAGAATATAAAATGTATACAGAATATAAATAAAGAATATAAAATGGATACAGAATATAAATAAAGAATATAAAATGCATACAGCAAAGTTTAGGATAAGCGAGTCTAAAGAGATGTTTTCAGAGCAGTTTTGAATATAGAAAGAGAGGTGGTATTATTCAATATTTTACTAACAGAATAGTCAAATAGCAACCTGACTTTTTTGTGTGAATTGCTATGCCAGTCATATGTTCAATTTTGGAATAAAGGGGTGGAAATTCAAACTTTTTTTTTTTTTTTGCCGATTCATCGATTAATAAATTTTAAAAAAATCGACCGATGAATCGATTATTGAAATAATCGTTAGTTGCAGCCCTACACCTGTTGTCTACTCACTTCAGTTTTCCAAATGCACCTGTTATTACCTGTTGAGTATGGGCACAGATAAAAAAAAACCTCATGCCCACCATGTGCAATGGCTGTAATGCCGTTTCCACGCGTTTCGAGGATGTACGCGGGGCGAGCGAGTAACCAAAAAGGAGTCATCGTATTGGTACCGAACTCCTTGGAAGGAAAAACACAGAATTTTCCTGTCTTTCTTTATTATCGGGATATGACAATAGGCATCTTTCAAATCCACTGAGACAAACCAATCTCTCTGCCTGACGCATTCGAACGTGCGTTTTATCGTCAACATATGAAACGGCCGTTCCATAATGTGTTTGTTGAAAAAGGACAGGGCCTTGAACCTCCTGTGTTTTTTGGAACCAGGAAGTACCGGGAGTAAAAAATGTTTTCTTCTCTCCCAGAGGGACTTTTAAAACACGTCCTTTACCAGAAGTTCCGCCAACTCGGTTTGTAAAAGCAGACCCTGTCTGGGGATGTTAACAACCGAGTTTCTAACACTCCGTTGAACCTCGGGGTGCTTCTGCAAACTGCAGCATGTAGCCCCTGGTGATAAAACAGTACATCCATTTTGTCGTCTGACACATATCCAGCCATGCCGAGCTACGCTCTGAAAGCGGCTGCGCGTGACTTGTGTCATCATGAAAAAGGACAAGCCTTACTGCCGTCGACAATAGAGAACAGAGAGAAAGGTTCTGCGGGGACCCATGGGGGCTTGTAGTGGAAGGGCTGCTTGTCATTTTCACACCGCCCCACAGCCATGTCTGGATGGGTGGGGATCTGTGGGCTGAGCAGGACCTCAATTTGTCCCCAAGGTAAACACCCCTTGCCTGTGGAGCTGGATGCAACTGGTCAGGGTGTACGTTTGGATATAAAGTCTCAACTATCTGTGGAGAGTGTGCACAGTTTCCCCGCAAACTGAGGTCCGCCTGAGTCTGTGGGAGCCTTTAGAAAATGATGTTGATATTTTCTTCAAACTTTCTATAACATTTTCATCAAAATCTTATATCTGCCCCTTATTTAAAAAATATAAAATAACTTTAAACAATCACTTAAAATAATCACTTTAATATCCATCCTGATGCATGCTCAATAATCCAGGTGAAAAATCCAAAAAGGTTCAATCTGGTCTCCAAAAAAACAAAACAAAGCAAAAAAAAAAAAAAA